TTTTTTTTTTTTTTTTTTTTGCGGTACGCGGGCCTCTCACTGTTGTGGCCTCCGCCGTTGTGGAGCACAGGCTCCGGACGCGCAGGCGCAGCGGCCATGGCTCACGGGCCCATGTGGGATCTTCCGGGACCAGGGCACGAACCCGTGTCCCCTGCATCAGCAGGCAGACTCTCAACCACTGCGCCACCAGGGAAGCCCAATGAGCAAGTCTTGTAGGAGCAATGAAGTGAGAGATCTGCATGGTGTCTATGTTACCATGCTCTACTGGTTGTCCTTTCGACTGACCACGCCTTAGTTCCCTTTTCAGCAGTTTTTTTTCTGCCAGTATCTTATATGTTGGTGCCCCTCATGGTGCTCTAGGCTCTGCTTTAGTTACTTTACTTATACTTTCCTCTGGGAAAGATGCAGTTACTGACCATATCATCATTATTCCTAACAGCTGTCTTCAGCCCAGTTCTCTTTCCTCAACTTCACACTCATTGTCTACTTAACATTGCCCCCCTAAATGTCTCAAATTCAACCAACGTAACACTGAACATTTCATCTCCAAATCTTTTTCTTTTCCTGGGTTCCCTAGATCAATAAAAAGTACTTGCTGGAGACAGAGACCTGGGAATGTAATTCTTAACTACTGTTTCTCCCTGTACTTCAGTACAGTGAATCACCAAGCTCTGTTTAGTCTTAACTCTTAAATATATCAGATGTTTTTGTGCTTTGCTTTATCCCTGCTCCGCCTTCCCTTAAATACAGTCCACCATCATCTTTCAGTTAGACCTGAACTGTCCAATACAGTAGACATGGTCATGTGACTAGTCCAAATTGAGATGTGCTGTAAGTGCAAAATATACACTGAATTTTCTATACTTAATATGAACAAAGAATGTAAAATCACATCAACAATTTTTATTATCGATTACATTAAAATGACTATTTTGAATATATGTTTAAATGCATTATCAAAATTAATTTAATCTCTTTTTACCTTTTAGAAACGTGGCTACTAGAAAATTGTAAATTATCTATGGTTCTCATTTTTGTCTCACATTATATCTCTATTGGACAGTGTAGCTTCCTGATAGGTCTCTGCCTCGGGTGTTGCCACAGCCCCTATCTCTTATCACCCTGTTTCCATTCAGAACCACACTGCAACTCAAGTGATCCTTTAATCTTGTTCTAGCACTACCTGCTTAAAATGCCTGCTCATCCTCTAGCTTCACTTCCTCCCCTTACGTCTTTATTCTCATTTCCTCAAGTGAGTTCTGCTCTCTTGGAACATGCATCCTCCCCCTTCTTACCTGGTTAATGTGCTCATCCTCATCTAGGAAGGTGTTCTTTCAGGAATGCTTTCCTCATGGCTCAAGAGTTTGGTAAGCAAATACCTCCTGCTTTGTGTTCTCTTAGCACCTTATACCCTCTCTATCTAGTTCTTACATTGTATTGTAATTTATTTTGTTATCACTATCCCTCCTCTCATATATTGTAAGCTCTACAGAATCAGTAAAGATGGTTTGCTCGCCAGTCTATACCCAGTGCCTGTCATAGTGCTTTGCATATAGGAGGCACTTAGTAAACACTTGCTGAATGAGTGAATTTATATTTCAGAGAAAGAACATTAACAGGTTATATTGTAGGAATTATGGCAAGGGAGTAGAATGAGTATCTAAAATGAAATAGTAATAAAGATCGTTGGAGTTAAGTATTTAGGGAATGGAGATGCTCGGTAAATAGTTCTCAGTCTCTTTCTGCCTTTGCACTCGATAAATAACAGATGATTAGTTTTCTTATAACACCTTTATTGAAATATAAATCACATTCTCTACAATTTGCCTATTTTAAAGTGCATAGTTCAGTGGTTTTTAGTATATTCATAGAGTTGTACAACCATTACCACAGTTAATTTTAGACCTTTTTCAGCGGTGTGATTAGTTTTTAAAAGCTTCCCAGATCATTCTTTATTTTTTTTGCGGTATGCGGGCCTCTCACTGTTGTGGCCTCTCCCATTGTGGAGCACAGACTCCGGACGCGCAGGCTCAGCGGCCATGGCTCACGAGCCCAGCCGCTCCGCGGCATGTGGGATCTCCCCGGACCGGTTCACGAACCCGTGTCCCCTGCATCAGCAGGCGGACTTCCAACCACTGTGCCACCAGGGAAGCCCCATTCTTTTTTTTTTTTAAACATAGAATTTACTGTTCTTTTTTTTTTAAATTAATTTATTTATTTATTTTGGCCGCACCGCATGGCATGCATGATCATAGTTCCCCAACCAGGGATCGAGCCTGGAGCCCTAACCACTGGACTGCCAGGGAATTCCCCTTCCCAGATAATATTTTTTTAACTTTTATATTTACCTATGTAGTTATATTTAGTGATGTTCTTTTTTTTTTCTTTTTTTTTGACTATGCCACGTGACTTGCAGGATCTCAGTTCCCCGACCAGAGATTGAACCCAGGCCATGGCAGTGAAAGCCCGGCATCCTAACCACTAGGCCACCAGGGAACTCCCTCCCAGATAATTGTGTCTATCTAAGTAGACTTCTTTCCTCGTTCCAACCCACTCCTCATCTACTGAGAAATCACTGGGCTAAAAGTATGGCTATGTCATCTACATTTTATATCTGTGGAATTACCCATTACTGTGGAAAGATTTGGCATAAAAGAGTCAGAAATAGTTGGATACTATCAGGAGGTCAGTGGATATTAGGAAAGGAGCTAGGATGGTTGGGGCAGGGTTTGATCTCCCTCAAAAGAAGAGGTGTTTATAATTGAGAGAGGAGTAATGATCTCATAGCATTTGTAAACACTAACTCTACCGCCTGAACTAGAGTTTATGAGGTGTGGGAGAAGAAGCAACCTGTATCTGAGAAGGCTTCAGGGAAGTGCTGTCCTTGGGAAAGGAGTAGATCTACCATTTTCATTATCTGAGGAGGTCAAGGAAAGTTTTCAGTGAAGATGTTTGAGATGCTGGGCAGTATCTCTATTGTGGAAGAAGGATAGGGGCACAGAGAAAATGTTTGAATGGGAGTAAGATTATAGGATGGCATTAACTAGCTGCACGGTTTTCACAAGAGTAAGTCCAAACAATTAACTGATAGGGTGGCAGGTGAGGGGAGGATTGGGTAGTTCCTGCTTGTCTGGAGTTAGCCGAGGCTTGGATTGGTAGGATGTTAGGTCAGTAGGCTGGCAAAATAGTATGAGTTATATTAAGAAGTAAATTGAAAACAATAACCAGTTAGGAAAAGAGTCGTAAGGAAAAATGAAGTCCAAAATAATTGGGTTTTCTAGTTCTGCCACTTAGTAACTTGTGGTATCTTTAATGGAGAAAGGAGACACAGGGCAGAAAAGAGAAGGTTACAACTTAGTGTTTAAGTACTCTGTTTTCAGCTAAAATAAACCTGCAGATAACTAGACTAAACCTAAATTATTTCTACAAAAGCATCTTCCCAAAGGGGGAATACTAGAAGGGGCAAAATAACATAAAATGGAAAGGCTTAGTTTTTGGCGTTATTAAAATCACTATGATAAGTAATTATTGGACTGTGGATGTACTTAATATATGAGAACTTTTAAAACTGTATTGATGATCAGTGATAATTGCAATACAGTATGAGTTTACTTTGTTTTAAAAGCTAAATTTTATTTTTTAGTTTTGTATATTGTTTCAAATCTTAAAGTTTTATTATGTATGTTAAAAACATTTTTGGGGGTAACCTACACATTGATACTTTATAGAAAAAATGGTGAGTACTTATTCAGAGGTATTGCTGGATATGTATTTGCTTTAGGATTATTGAAAACTAAACATTTATTTTCTTTCCCT